GGGGGTGGGCAAAAGATGAATACGAATGGGCTTTATATGTAAACAGATAGTAAACATGTTATGGGTTCTGGTGCTGCTGGAGGAAATGGTGGAGGTGTTTGGTTGTTTGGGGAGCATTAGAATGCTGGCATTTCTATTCATGTTATTAAAAACTTTGCACAAGACATCTGCCATGGGTAGTTGGCAAACATTTACACCTTCGTTATATCTGCTAAATCTTCTCATTATGGTTATGCTTCTCAGAACCTCCACATCCATCCCATACCATATTGCAGGCAAACAAATGTAGCAATGGTTCCTTTCGCCGTCATCATGGTTGTTGTTATTGCCATTGCGGTTTTATGTTAAATACAAACACGCTGTGATGCCTGCCTGCCTGCCTGGCTGGCTTGATTGTGTTTGAGGTCTCCAAAGAGGGATGCCACCGCATCGTTTGGCGGCAGTTTTGGGGTATGCTCTTGCGGATCATTGGAATGTTTCAATTAATTCTTAGAAGATTAATAGCCTTCGAGTGTGAAATATGCATTTGCCACATTCATACAAATGTGGCTTCTAAATATTTAACAACAATTGGGAGTTGGAATGTTTCCTTTTTTTCGGTTTGTTGTGCTTTGTTGCTATTTTATTTGAAACATTTCAAGGACACGATTCCACAAGGCAATGAAAAGTTTTCAACGAATGTGTAAATGTGGTGATTTATATTCAAATTCATTGTATTCAAACAAGAAAAAAGATAGGGAGGGAGAGGGAATTGGGTAAATCCTACAAATATAGAACGACGAGTTTTGTGGGAGTAAATATTTAAGTGAGGTTAGTTTTTGATGTGGTTGGGATTTAGAGATACCTCTACTCTATTCGTTTGGGATTTAATGAGACGGCCTTCTATGACAAGGCCTCCTGGCTTCTCTGCTAGAAGATATTCTGGTTTTCTGAGAGGAGGCATTCTAATCTTCTGAGAGAATACCTCCGGAACCTCTGAGAGAATACAATGAGGTATTTTGAAAGAGGACGTTGTGGACGTCTCTCGCCCTAGTGAAAAAATGTCATCTTCCACAAGCATACCTTCTGGTCTTCTGGTCTTCTATGAGCAGACCTTCTGGTCTTCTATGAGCAGACCTTCAGCTCTTCAAAGAGAAGACCTTCAGCTCTTCAAAGAGAAGACCTTCAGCTCTTCAAAGAGAAGACCTTCAGCTCTTCTGTGAGAAGACCTTCAGCTCTTCTGTGAGAAGACCATCAGTTCTTCTGTGAGAATACCATCATATCTTCTGTGAGAAGACCATCAGATCTTCTGTGAGAAGACCATCAGATCTTCTGTGAGAAGACCATCAGATCTTCTGTGAGAAGACCATCAGATCTTCTGTTAGAAGACCTTTTGCTCTTCTGTGAGAAGACCTTCTGCTCTTCTGTGAGCAGACCTTCTGCTCTTCTGTGAACAGACCTTCTGCTCTTCTGTGAGCAGACCTTCTGCTGTTCTGTGAGCACAACTTCTGCTCTTCTGTGAGCAGACCTTCTGCTCTTCTGTGGGCAGACCTTCTACTTTTCTGTGAGCAGACCTTCTTCTCTTCTGTGACCTGACCTTCTGCTCTTCTGTGACCAAACCTTCTGCTCTTCTGTGACAAGACCTTATGCTCTTCTGTGACAAGACCTTCTGGTATTCTGTGACCAGACCTTCTGCTCTTCTGTGAGCAGGCCTTCTGGTCTTTTATAGGCAGGCCTTCTGGTCCTTCAGCTCTTTTATGAGTAGACATTCTGCTCTTCTGTGAGCAGACATTCTGCTCTTCTGTGAGCAGACCTTCTGCTTTTCTGTGAGCAGACCTTTTTCTCTTCTGTGAGCAGACCTTCTGCTCTTCTGTGAGCAGACCTTCTGCTTTTCTGTGAGCAGACCTTCTTCTCTTCTGTGACAAGACCTTCTGCTCTTCTGTGACCAGACCTTCTGCTCTTCTGTGACCAGACCTTCTGCTATTCTGTGACCAGACCTTCTGCTCTTCTGTGATTAGGCCTTCTGGTCTTTTATAAGCAAACCTTCTGGTCTTCTATGAGCAGAACATCTGCTCTTCTAAGAGCACACCTTCTGGTCTTCTGTGAGCAGACCTTCTAGTTTTCTATGAGGAGAGTTCTGCTCTTCCACAAGCATACCTTCTGGTCTTCTATGAACAGACCTTCTGGCATTTTATAGGCAGACCTTCTGGTATTTTATAGGCAGACCTTCTGGTCTTCTATGCGCAGACCTTCTGGCCTTCTTTGAGCAGACTTTCAGGTCTTCTATGAGCAGACCTTCTGGCCTTCTATGAACAGAGCTTCTGGTCTTTTATGAGGAGACCTTCTGCTTTTCTCGGAGCAGATTTTCTGTTCTTCTAAGAGAGGACTTTTGCTCTTACATTAGAAAACCTTCTGCTCTTTAAAGAGAAAATCCGTTGCTCTTTTTGTAGAGAATTTCTACTTCTATAACATAAGGCCTTCCGCTCTTCTACGAAAATACCTTTGTTCTATCCATGAGCGGATCTTGTAAGTTATTTTTGGAATTGTGTTTTTTATACCCTACAACACTATGTGTTGGGGGTATTATAAGTTTGATTGGGCCAGAATTTATGTAACACCTCGAAATATTGATTTCCCATATAGGAAAGTATATATGGATCTTCCTAGCTCGCCGAGCTGAGTCGATCTAGCTATGTATGTCCGTCCGTCCGTCTGTCCGTCTGTCCGTCTGTCCATGTTAATTTGTAATCACTCTACAGGTCGCAATTATGGTCCGATCTTCACAAAATTTAGAATGTAGGTGGGGCTTGAACCAGAATAGAACCCTATTGTTTTTGGAGATGATCGCCAAATGTTTAGGGGTTGAAATGGACCAAATACTGAAAAAATGTCGGATTTTGCAGTAGCTATACAGGTCGCAATTATAGACCAATCGACGCGGAATTTCGCATGTAGCTGGAGTTTAGGGAGGGGAAGAAGCCTACCAATTTGGGTGGTCATCGGATAATATTTAGCGGGTAAAATAGACCATATATTTTGTGTTGAAAAAATTCAAAATTTTTTCATTAAACCGCAAATATTTTAAATCCCGGCGAAATCATAAAGCCATGACGAGGTTACTTCTGATCTTTACATTGATGTTAAAATATGTGCGATATATATGTCTATCAAAGAAGATATGCTTGAAAGATCTCTTATATGTCGAGAACGGCTGAACTGATTTCGACAGTTCTCATAAATTCAGAATGGCCTCTTGGTAGGAAAGAAAAAACGTCTAAAAAAATCGCATAAAAATATCTCTCTAAAGATGAAAATATTGATTTTGTAAAATTTTCTCATATTTTTTCAATTTTGTCATATTTTTGGCATATTTTCATTTTGAATTAAATATTTGGTAATATTTCTACAGCTAACAAAACTAAGTAGTTGGGATATCAGGATATCATATACAGATCGCATTTATGGCCCGATCCTTACGAAATTTTGCATGGGGATAAGATGAGGGTCAGAATAGGAGCCTACTCTTTTTTGAGATGATCGCCATATATTTAGGGGTTGAAATGGACCAAAAAACTGCAAAATTGTCGGCAGGTCGTAATTATCGCCCGATCCTCACGCACATTTGAATGGGGGTTACCGCACATTGCAAAAACCAAGCCATTTCTAATGGCCATCCAAAAATATTCAATGTGTGAAATAGTTTGCCAACTTTTGTAGACAAAATACGAAAATGTCCATTCCAGAGGCTTTTTGGAGAATTCACAAATACAAGAAAGCCGCACTTCTGACTATTTCTTTGAAGAATATAGTCAAATGTCTGTATCTCATATAGATGCGTTTCAGTCAAAAACCAATAATAAATGTTAATCTTTTGCTACTTCTGAGAGATTATAGGTCTTTGGGAGATATTGGTTCCAGATCTAGGAAGACCATTTACGTGCAACATCTACAAATAAATTGGAAATGAGCAAATTAGTTTAAGTTGTTATTTTTTCGAAAATTAGAGAACGAAACCTGATAGTTTTCTTTAAATATCTGTCTCAATATCTTGTGGAATTCTGTCGACTACTTCGCCTATATAAACTGTATGGTGTATTATAGTGTTGTAGGGTATTCAACGGTCGGCCCCGCTCGACTGTAGCCTTTGCTTACTTGTTTTCAAATGCCTGTGGCTTTCTATTTTTAAATAACCCAACCTAACCTTTTATTATTTTATACACCATTGTTCATTCAACTTTGCCCTGTAACCTCAAATTCTACAGTACATACATGTTCATTGTGCCCATGATTGATGCCCATGTCCATGTCAATTTTCCCAGAACATGACCCCCGAAAATGATTTCGGAGAAAAGTAAATATTGAAATGATGAGTGGAAAACATGATATTTTTCTCGTCCTGGCAAATTGTTGTCTAAAACTTGTTTTTTTGTTTCCTCGCAATTAAGTTCGCCATACACATCGTTGGGCTCGCTGTTAAACTATAACCCCACCAGATCGTTGCCTCTGGAGTTACATGGAAAATTTGCTATAATTTTTAATGGCTTTTAATCTGTTGTACGAAAAGCACTTTCGGCAGTTGTAATTTTTGTTGCTGCTGCTCTGTTGTGATGTTTTGTTTTGGTAGCCAAGGGAATATGAACGGGATAACGATTTCAAATCTCTCGCCCTCGCACCCCACACGCCTTTGGTTACCATAACTTTTGCAAGGATATGGGAAGGGTTGGATAGAGGTGTGCGAGTGTGTATGTCGATGTGGCTGCTGTTGTAATTCGGACATTTAATGACTTCCACCGAATGCATGATGGCTGTCCTGACTGCCGGCTGGCCGGCCAGTGCGTTGGTATCTTTCTGAAATAACTTAAATGTTGGCCACGGGCGCGAATGTGTTGTTTGAGTTTATGGCCAATTACAATCCTGAATAAAAAGTTATAATTAAACATTCCAATAATGGTCAGTCAGCCATACAGACTGCCAGCCAGCCAGTACGCCATAAATGGAAAATCAAACAAGAACTTTACCGATTTTTTTGTTAATTGTTGTTTTATTATTTGTTTTATACAAAACACAGAAAATAATCATATTCACCACAGAAAATAGTATTGATATTTCGAATTCTCATCAGTAAGTAATTTGTTGTTATTGATGCTATAGTTGTTTTTGTTGTTGCCTTGTAATGCCATCAAATTAAAATTGAATATTGAAAATACAATTGTAAAAAAACACGTTAGTTATTACATACAAACTTATAACTATGATTACATTCATAAATACGTATATGAATATGGAGAGATATAAATATACAAAAATAGATATGAGTTGAGTCGAATCAAAATAAAATAAAATAATATCGAAAATCATTTGTGTAATTTTGTTATTTAATGATATTTGGAAACGGACAGACTACTCGATCCCCCGAGGCCACCCAGGGATTGTTGTAGAGATTGCAAAATGCCAATGGGAATCTGAAATGAAAAGAGGGACGGAGGAGAGGTTTAATGACAATTATTTAAAAAAAAATGTTTAATAAATTTAAAAATGTTTAATTGTATGTTGAAGCTTGTAAGGATAATAAGTGTTATTTTTTAATTCCTTTTCTACAATAATTTGTATTCCGGTCTCATGTAAGAAGACATTCTGGTCTTCTTTGAAAATACCTTATTCTCTTCTATAAATGGTTTTGTTCTCATCTATGAGAATGTCTTGTTCGCTTTTGTGAGAAGACCTTCCGCTCATTTATGAGAAGACTTTCTGGTCTTCTATGAGAAGGCCTTGATCTCATTCAAGGGAAGATCTAGACTTCGTGGCTTTCTATGAGAATACCTTGAGCTCTTTCAAGAGAAGATCTTGAGCTCTTTCGAAAGAAAACTTTGTGGTCTTCTATGAAAAGATTCTGCGGTCTGCTGTAAGAAGGCTTTGTGGTTTTTTGTGAGAAGACCTTCTCCTCTTCTGCACGAAGATGTAGTGATATTCATTGAGATGACCTTATGGTCTATGTTTAGTCTTCTTCTATGACAATACCTTCTAGTCTATTATTTAAAGGCCGCGTAGGAGGATACTTCTGCTCTTCTAGGAAAATCCTAGAAATCCATCTTTTTAGGAGAGGAGAATCTGCTCTTCTAGAAGATGAACTTTTGCTTTTTTAGAGTAGAAAGAAACTTTTTCTCTTTTAGGTGAGGAGCTTCTACTCTTCTAAGAGAGGGTCTTATGCTCGTCGAGGAGAACAGCGTTTGCTTTTCAAGGAAAGAAACTTCTGCCCTTCAAGGAGAGAAGACCATTTGCTCTTCTGGGAGAAGACCATCTGCTCTTCTGGGGGAAGACCATCTGCACTTCTGGGAGAAGACTATATATTCTCCTGAGAGAAGACCATCTGCCTTTCCTATAAAGTACCATTCGCTCTTCTGGGAGAAAACCATCTGCTCTTCTGTAGAATGCAATCTGCTCTTCTAAGATAATATCTCTAGTATTCTAGGATAAGACCACCTGTTCTTCTGGAAAAAAAAAACATCTACTCTTGCTAGAAGACCTTCAGCTCTTCTAAGAGAAGACCTTCAGCTCTTCTAAGAGAAGAACTTTAGATCTTCTCAGAGAAGATCTTTAGATCTTCTCAGAGAAGACATTTAGATCTTCTCAGAGAAGACCTTCAGCTCTTCTAAGAGAAGACCTTCAGCTTTTCTAAGAGAAGACCTTCAGCTCTTCTAAGAGAAGACCTTCAGCTCTTCTAAGAGAAGACCTTCAGCTCTTCTAAGAGAAGACCTTCAGCTATTCTAAGAGAAGACCTTCAGCACTTCTCTGAAAAGACCTGAAGGTCTTAAGGTAAAAGAAGTCCTTTGGTGCTTCTATAAGAAGACCTTCTATGAGAAGATCCTCTGGCCTTCTATGAGAAGACCTCGGGCCTTCTATAAGAAGACTATCTGGCATTTTACGAGAAGAACATTTGGCCTTCTACGTGAAGATCTTTTGGCCCCCGACGACAAGACATTTTCTGCCTCAGTTTTTTAGAGAAGAGCTTTTACTCTCTTCTATGAAACTACTTTTGGTGTATGTGACAACGTTCTGATCCGTGTAGTATCTGATCGTTAGAAATCTGAGAAAATAGATCTGTAATAGAGCTCTATGCATTTTCTATCCATTCAAAATTTTCAGATATGATATGTTTTTTTTTTTGCAAATATCTACCATGGTCTTATGTCTACAGACAGAACTTATAGGGGACACTCAAGATCTGTAAAATGGTAAATGTAAAATGTACTAATGGTAAATCTTCCATTTTAAATCTTTTAAAGACCTCTACATAGGGGATATTTAGATCGATTTTTTTCGTATGTAAAATATTTTTAAATTACTTCAGAAGTACCGAGTCTTCTTATGTTATTACCTGCAAGGCAGCTGGAACAACATTTCCGGATTTAGTCACACCAATGTAACCATCAGCAGATGCTTCGGAGTGGCCAACGGGTCCAGGTACTGGAACATAATTCACTGGGGCTGGTTCGGATACTACTTTAACTGGGGCTGGGGGTGCGGGGGCAGCAGAAACGTCAGCGGATGTGGTTGCAATCAATTTGTGTTTGTGGGTTCTAATGTGCTGTTAAAGAAATTACAAAATAAAATCCGAATTAGTAATTTTTCATTTCAAATCTATTAAATCCTTTCAAGCAGATTTTGAAATAATTTAAGCAACAAAAACCATTCGTTTATAACAATCTCAACAAGTCGTCTCCTGCTCCTCCGTCAAGGTCATTATAAACGAAATCTACGGCACATTAACATAAATTTCCAGCATTTTAGGTTATATTAAATGGAGGCTCTTTTTGCGGGTATGTGGTTAAAAGTATTGTCAACACATCTGTGGCGGGGCGGGGATGCAAATAAACGCAAATGTCAGCAACACTCTCCGAAAAGCCGCACTTATGGGTTTTTTTGTTATTCTGAAAATATTTGTCCCTCTTTTTTGTATTTTTGATACCCATGCAGATATCATAAATATGACCATCCCAACACATACATGCATTAGCATGTATGTGTGTGTTTACATATGTACGTAAGCGTGTAAAAATATATGCATGTCTATAATGTAATATGTTTTTGCTGTACTGTCTAATGTAAATTTGTGGCTAACAACAGCAACAACAACATTTATGTCAAAACCAACCGAAGCCAATGTTAGTAGAAATCTGTTTGTGTGAATCTTTGTCTGGTTCCGGTATGTGTGTGTGTGTGCGTGTGTCGCTGGATTTGTTGTGGCAAATAAACATTTTTATTTCATTTGCTAATGTCAACATTTGTATGGGTATTGGGTTTGATCGAGGAAAACACCTTCTGTTTTTTTGGAAAAGACCTTCTTCTTATCTGGAAGAAGACCAACTGACCTTCAGCTCTTCTCGTAGAAGACCTTCAACATTTCTCGTAGAAGACCTTCAGTTCATCTCGGAGAAAGCTACTGGAAGAAGTTCTTCAGCTCTTCTCAGAGAAGATCTTCAGCTCCTTTCGAAGAAGACCATGAGCTCTTCTCGAAGAAGAACTTGAGCTCTTTTCGGAGAAGACCTTCAGCTCTTTTAGGAGAAAACCTTCAGCTCTTCTAGGAGAAGGTTTTGAGCTCTTCTCGGAGAAAACCTACAGCTCTTCTCGGAGAAAACTTACAGCTCTTCTCGGAGAAGACCTTCAGCTCTTCTCGGAGAAGATCCTCAGCTCTTCTCGGAGAGAATCTTCAGCTCTTCTCGGAGAAGACCTTCAGCTCTTCTCGGAAAAGACTTTCAGCTCTTCTGGGAGAAGACTTTCAGTTCTTCTGGGAGAAGACCTTCAGCTCTTCTGGGAGAAGAACTTCAGCTCTTCTGGGAGAAAACCTTCAGCTCTTCTGCGAGATGACCTTTAGCTCTTCTGCGAGAAGACCTTCAGCTATCCTGGGAGAAGACCTTCAGCTATTCTGGGAGAAGACCTTCAGCTCTGCTGGCAGAAGACCTTCAGCTCTGCTGGGAGAAGACCTTCAGCTATTCTGGGAGAAGAACTTTAGCTCTGCTGGGAGAAGACCTTCAGCTCTTCTGCGAGAAGACCTTCAGCTCTTCTGGGAGAAGACCTTCAGCTCTTCTAGGAGAAGACCTTCAGGTCTTCTGGGAGAAGACCTTCAACTCTTCTGGGAGAAGACCTTCAACTCTTCTGCGAGAAGACCTTCAGCTATCCTGGGAGAAAACCTTCAGCTATTCTGGGAGAAGACCTTCATCTCTGCTGGGAGAAGACCTTTAGCTCTTCTGAGAGAAGACCTTCAGCTCTTCTGGGAGAATACCTTCAGCTCTTCTGGGAGAAGACCTTCATCTCTTCTGGGAGAAGACCTTCAGCTCTTCTAGGAGAAGACCTTCAGCTAGTCTGGGAGAAGACCTTCAGCTCTTCTGTGAGAAGACCTTCAGTTCTTCTGGGAGAAACCCTTAGGCTCTTCTAGAAGAAGACCTTCAGCTAGTCTGGGAGAAGACCTTTAGCTCTTCTTCTATGAGAATATTTTAAGCGTTTCTTCTGTGGGAAGACCTTAAGCTCTTCTTCTACGAGAAGACCTAGAGCTCTTCTTCTATGAGAAGACCTTGAGATCTTCTATGAGAAGACCCTGAGCTCTTCTATGAGAAGACCCTGAGCTCTTCTATGAGAAGATCTTGAGCTCTTCTATGCGAGGACCTTGAGCTCGTCTGTGAGAAGAGATCTTCAGCTCTTCTATGCGAAGACCTAAAGACAGACGAGCTCAAAAAAATAACATCAGCTCTTCCCAGAGAAAACATTGACTTACTTTTATCGAAGAGAACTTTGTTGTTATTTTAGAGGAACCGTGTGCGCTATTTTCTCACCTCACCCCAGTATCCACTTGTGGTAGATATGTATTTTATGTCCCCGACATGCCGCAATATAAATGTAACTGCATTTAGCAAAAATCATACACATATATTTCTGTTTTGGGTAATACACAAAAAAAAAAAAAACAATAACAATAATAAATTGTTAAAATACTTTATGCATTTGTGGTCACAACGAGAGCAACACTATCAGCTCATGTGCTCAATGGAGCACACAAACACTCACACATATTTATTGCTAATCGCGGACATGTTATTGGTTTCCTGGGAAGCGGGGAGGGTCCTCCTCTAAACAAAATAATTTCCGTATCCGTTGCATAAAATTGAAAATTTTGTTATTTTTTTTTGGGCGGAGGGGGACGATAATCTAAGCACTGAGTTTAGTCATAAATGTGTTAATTTGTAAAAACATTGGTCAGATAACAAATGGATATGACCTTGTGCAATGCAGGCTGGTGGTGGTTTTTTTCTCTCCATGAAAATTTATTCAAATCGAAATGAATCAAAATGTGACCATATTTTTATTTTCGCTTAACAAAATGCATCTGTGGATTTGCAAATTTGGTTTATCAGTTTTAATCGTTTTAAATGGGGTTTGAAGAAAAAAATCAACAATTTTGAAAATTCAATTAGCAGATAAAGTGGTCGGACCGTTTTGTGGTAAAATGACAGGAGTTAGAAATGATTGTTTTTTTTTTGATATGAAGGAATTTAAGGAGGTATAAAAATTGTCCAGGCAGGATCTGTAGAAGAAATATTTCCAGCTTTGATGGTTCTCCAGGAGTTGTTTAAAATGCCTTCTCTTACAAAAAAAAAAAAAAAAAAAAACAGTAAAGAAAGTCCTAAAGTCGGGCGGGGCCGACTTTGTGATACCCTACACCACTTTTCTAATTTAGTAGAGCTCCGCATAACAATTAAAAGTTTTATGGGAGAATTCAATCAGATACGCTATGATTATAAATATAATTTAATGTTCAAAGGACTAAATATGCCGAAGCATTTGTATCTTTTAAATTCTGACATGTATTGCCCATTTGGTGCGAAATTAATTTGAAATCGGATAAAAATATATATGGGAGCCATATCCAAATCGGAACCGATCTCGATAAAATTTGGCAAAGATATTTCTGAGCTGTATTTGATATTTTTCCCTGAATATCGTTGTTACGGAGTGCATATTACGGCTGTGGGTAACAAATACAACAAATCGAATGAACAATATATATGGGAGCTATATTCATCAAATTTGGTATACTAGCTTCTAGACTTAATTCGGTCGCATGTGCCAAATTCCATCCCATTTGGGCAAATATTAGACGTTTGGTTCACAATAAAAGGTAAATCGGACGAAGTTATATATGGGAGCTATATCCAAATCTGAACCGATCTCGATAAAATTTAGCAAATGTATTTCTGAGCTGCATTTGATACATTTCCCCAAATATTGTTGTTACAGAGTGCATATTACGGCTGCGGAGGACAAAAATAACAAATCGGATGAACAATATATATGGGAGCTATAGCTATAACTAAACCGATTTCGATCAAATTTGGCATACTTATTATCGGGCCTAATTTGGTTGTATGTGCAAAATTGCATACTAATCGGGCTGATATTACACGTTTAGTGCACAATAAAAGGAAAATCGGACGAAGATATATATGGGAGCTATATCTAAATTTTTACCGATTATCTCCAATTTCAATAGGGTTCTTCCTTGGGCCAAAGAAATGATTTGTGCAAAATTTCATCTGGATAGGGTAATAAATGCGAACTGTACTTTGTTTACAAAAATACTAGACAGACGGACGGGCGGACAGACGGACTGACATGCATAAATCAACTCAGAAAGTGATTCTATGCAGATCATCAAAAGGAACTATGGGTCTATCTCGTTTCCTTTTGCCACCTTGTGGTGTAGGTTATAATTATCGAATCTCTTTTTCAAATAAATTGTTCAAGAAATGGAATCCTTTTGGAAATTCAATTCCCTTTAATGACTTTAAAGCATTTAATGGCCACAACAGCATCTTGTCGACGAGTCCTTGGTTGCCGTTAACCATTAAAGTGCACTTAAATGGCACCAATATGGAACAATGCAACGACGCTTTAATGTCTGTTATTGGCGTGGGAATCACCCGTAGCAAGACACACGTTTAGTATCTGCATCTGCATCCAGCATCTCCTACAAAAGATCTATGAGTGTTAACCTTAAACCCTCACAAAATTCATTCATCCGTGGCATTATATTCTGTCACAATGCTTTGAGATGTTATCCCTACACAGAGATAGTCACCTCCCCCCTCCTCCCATACACACAGGCACTCACACATTGAGAAACTCATACATGACTACACACCGTAGTTGAGCTGCATCTTATTTTGAATCCTTTTGGGACTTTAGGCAATATGGCCCGGCTCAATTGAAAGAGGATAAAACCTCAATATTGCAGCGTAGCAGAGGATCTATTCCTGCTGCAGTTTCTTGTCGGAGTCGCTGTCGTCTAACATTCCCATTTTAACCATAAATGAAAGATGGCACTCCATGTTGATTGGCTGCGAAATGGTTGTGTTTGTTGGTGCCCCTTTTGGCACATGTGTTTGCATGTTTGTTTGTTTTTTTCCGGGACTGGTTGAGCGTTACGCTATGGAGTTTATGGCAAAAAAAAAACAGACAAGGGAACAATATTTTCTATGAAATTCGAGGAATCATTTTAGTGGCGGGCTTTTTTGCCAAAACTGATAGAAAACTGGGAAAAATGGTAAAAACGATAAATTTTAAGATAAGCTCAAAATTTCTAAAGGGCTTGGTTTCAATTTCTATGGATAATGGAGAGGTGAATAAAAAGTTAAATTCATTTTTATATTTTTACGGACAATAAATATTTCAGAGGTATTTTATTGTCGGAAGATCCTCTGTAGTCCTTTTAAACGAGGACTTTTAAAAAGTTCTCTGTTAACAAAAGGTATGCTTGTAATGTTTTAAAAAAAAAAGTGAAGAAAGGTCGAAAAACCGGGCGGGCCGATTATATGATACTCTTCACCACTGTCCGTATTTAGTACAGCTCCTGTAAAAAATAGTTTATATATACCAACTATGAATCTTAATTGAGTGCGTATCATGGCTTTAGAGTAGTCACAATTTGGGAGTTATATTCAACTCTGAATCGATTTTCAACAAATTTGACAGAGGCTTTTGTACCTCTAGTTCCAAATAACATTGCTCTATAGTACATGATATGACTTCGATAAAGATTATGTTCAAACATATTTATTGGAGCAATAGATATACCGGAACGAGTTTTACCAAGTGGTTAAATTCGGTTGAATAAAAAAAATCTGTCCAGTTTGGGCTGATACTACATATCTTGTGAACAATAACCATAAAATCCGATGAAAATGTATATCGAAGCAATATAAAAATCAGAACCGATCTCTATAACATTTGGCAGAGGTATTATCGAGCTGTATCTGATGTCCGGTATCAAATATTATTGTTGTGGAGTGCATATTACGCATATGAGGGACTTTAACACCAAATCGGATGAAACATACTTCTGGGAGCAATAGCTATATCTGAACCTATTTTCCTCAAATTTGATGTACTTACTTCTAGACTGAATTCTGTTGGAGGTGCCAAAATTCATGCATTTGGGCTTATATTCATCCATTTAGGGCACAAGAAACCTGAAATCGGATAAAGATATATATGGGAGGTATATCCTAATCTGATCCGATCTCGGTAAAATTTGACAAAGTTATTTTTGAGCTTCATAAGTTATTTGGTACCAAATATCATTCTAGTGGAGTGCGAAGTGTGCATGTGATGGACTTAAAACCCTAAATCGGAAGAAACATATATATGGGAGCTATAGCTATATATGAACCGATTATCACCAATTTTGCTTCTAGACCGAATTCAGTCGGATGTGCGAAAATTCAGGTCATTAGGATATTAGTCATTTGGTTCAGAATAAACCTGATATCGGATAAATATATCTATATATATGGGAGCTTTATCCAAATCTGGACCGATCTTGAAAACATTTTAGGTTATTTTGTAGACAGAAGAGCTTTACACTGCCTTAAAAAAAACCACGAATTTTTCCTAGTCTTATATTGGCTGAAAAACTTTAAAAGGTTTTCCGGAGACAGTAGAGCTTTATAATGGATTTCATAGGCATAGAAGCTTTAGAAATTCTTCTATGGATAGAAGTGATTTGTAAGGATTTATATAGGCAGAAGGGATTTTAAAGGTCCTATCTAGACAGGAGGCCAGTCGCCAGTCTTACATAAGAGGAAGAGCTTTTAAAATTCTTCTATAAACAAGAGAGCTTTAGAAAGTCTTCAATTAATAGATGAGCTTTAGAGGCTCTTCACAGACAGAGGAGCTTTCATCAAGCACACGTATTCTCTCTCAATTGATTTGGTCCAAATCTGGACCGATCTAGAACATTTTAGGCATAGAAGCTTTAGGAGTTCTTCAATGGATAAAAGTGATTTGTAAGTATTTATATAGGCAGAAGAGCTTTTAAAGGTCTTATCTAGACAGGAGGCCAATCGCCAGTCTTACATAAGAGGAAGAGCTTTTAAAATCAAGAGAGCTTTAGAAGATCTTCTATTAACAGAAAATCTTTAGAAGCTCTTCACAGACAGAAGAGCTTTCATCCATACACAGAAGAGCACACGTATTCTCTCTCGAATTTCATTTACAATTGATTTGGCAGAGCAAGAGAGTCTCTCACAACTACTGATGCACTCCGCCACCAAAATTCATTTTATATGAGTTTTGGAAGAGCTGTTGAAGACAGAGAACTTTACAACGAATGTAATTTACAGGTGACCGGCCCAAGATCTTTTCTAGATAGAAGATATTTCCAAGGAATTTTTCTCAAGGTCTTCCATACATAGAAAAGCTTTAGTAGGTATACCATAGATCCAAGACTTATACAAGTTATTCTATAGCCATTCTCTCTATAAAAAATCCTTGAAAAGGTGTCGGTCCATAAATTAGAAGATTTTCAATGATTTTCGGTTCAAAGAACGTCTTGTGAGGTCATTTGGTTCAAAGAAGACATTGTTAGTTCATTGTTCCAGGGAAGTCCTTATAAAGCCGTTTGACCATTAAACAAGTAAAAAAGTTGTAACTTCGGCCGGGCCGAACTTTGAATACCCTCCACTAAATTTGGAACGAATTTGGCAATTCTCAAAAACAATAAAATGTACCTGTTACATTAGGGTCTATACGACGATATGGACCTACATAAGTAACTTTCTGTCTTAGGCTGTAGTATCCATTACGAACTTCAAATACCAAATTTGAAACAATTCCGATGAATATTGTCTCAAAAATCATCAAAATACCGAATATCGGGAGGTACCGTTATATGGGGGCTATACGAAGACGTAGACATGCACAGACAATTTTCTGTCTTAGGCTGTAGTATCCATTACGAACTTCAAATACCAAATCAAAATACCGAATATCGGGAGGTACAGTTATATGGGGCCTATACGAAGACGTGGACCTACATGGCCCATTTTCAATATCAAAAGTCCTGCAGACATAATATACATTTGAGTATAATTTTATCAATCTACTTCAATTCGTTCGGAAGCTAGAGTGATTTCCATAGACGGACAGGCGGACGGACATCGCTTAATCGACATAGAGTTTTATGCTGATCAAGAATATATGTATTTTGTGGGGTCTAAAAAGGATATTTCGAGGTGTGACAAACGGAATGACAAACTTAATATACCCTCCATACTATGGTGAAGGGTAGAAAAACGTTATATTAAGAGTATTCGTTCTCTAGAAAATTTTCCACAAAATCTTTGTTCTATAGTGGTCCAAGTGAAGGTATTTTGCCTTCAGAAGATGTTGTGAAGATCCTCTGCCTTTGGATAACATTGTACTTAATCTAGGTCACTAAAATACCCTGTTAAGGTCTTTTGTCTATGGAGAACGTGGTAAAGGTCTTCAGTATGTAAACTTGTACAGGTCTGCTATTTAAGGAAGACCCGGCAAAGTTCTTCCGTTTCTTGAAGACCTTGAAAAGGCCTTTAGTATTTTTAAGACTTTGTAAATGCATTCTGTCTCTGGAAGAAATTTTGGAAATCTACGATTAATGCAAGACCCTTTGAAGGTCTTTTGCCATTCCAAGACCTCCTCAAGGTCTTTGCTCTTTAGGAATCGTGGAAAGACCTTTGCTTTTTAACTTTCAGGAAATATCAATTAAAACAACAATGGAATCATGTAATTTTGTGTAACCGTTAACCAGGTGTTGTGGCTGCGTGTGAGTATGTGTGATTTACTGAGTATATATGCGTGTGTCTATGTGTCTGCATATCACACTCTAAGCAATGACAAAGCTACATATTGCAACACTTGTTTCCCTTTCATTTCTTGTTTATCCTTTACCACCACCACCACTAGTAACCATTTGTAATTCCTTTCTTTTCTCCCCTTTCTTTGTATTTTCCATGTCTTATATTTCATCTTCCCCCAAGGCTTCCACAATGTATGCTACCATGGCTTTGTTTATACCTTTTCCGAATTCCCTGCCTGATACGGTAATTGTTCGCCATGATTGTCGGTTTGCTGGTCGGATGCCGCAACATTCACTTGTTCCACCGTACGGACAATGGTCTTGGAACGCTGACGTTCCTGGTGGGCATTGTTGAGGCGCCGCTGCAATTTACGTTGCTGATGGGGATGAGGGTGGCGTTGATGCAGCCGTTGTCGCAAGACTGTTTGGTGCTGTTGACGATTGCGGAGTTTAGTTCGGTTATGTTGTCGTACAATGATGGTCGATTTGTCGTCGTCATCGACGTCATCGTTTAAATTTCCACTATAATTGTCTTGATTGAAATGAGTTAATGAGTGCGACGGTGATGACGATGATGATGATGGCGATGATGGCAACGAAGAGGATGACGAGGACGATAGTGATGATGACTCTGATGAAATAATGCCTTGTGATGCAGCAAATGAGTTCCCCGTTGCCGTTGGTGATAATAATGGAGATTTATCGTCAACCAGGAGATTAAAGGTATTATTCTCACCATCCACAGTGGCCTGGCTGCTGTGGTGGTCTGATGGGAATATTAATGACGATGATGATGATGGTGGCGATGTTGATGATTTGCCTGCTGCAATTCCATGGTATTTGCTGGATCCACTTTTCTCGGTGGCTGTGGATGATATTGGAATTGCGGTTTTGCTGATGGTTTTCGTAATGACAAGATTTTGTGTTGGCCGACTGCGGCCAATGTTTTGATTCTCATTAACATCTGACTGTTAAAAAGTCATAAATTTGGGGTATCATAAAGAGATGTTAAGTCATAATCGCAATGATAATCGAAAATATGAAATTTTTAAATGAAGATGATTTTAATGAATTATAGGACCATACAGAAATACAAAATTCTCAAAAATTGAATATACAGTGGGATATTTCATTGCCAGCCAATTAGATGACAAAATATCTCTCATAGGAAAATTTGGAAAAAAAATGTTTAATAGTATGGGAGGGGAGGGGAGGGGAGGGGAGGGGAGGGGAGGGAGGATGGGGTTCCACTGTACATTCAAAATTCGTCTAAACAAAATGTCACTACAAATTGTCTAGAATTTTAGAACACATATTTAAAAATCGACAAGTCATCTACTTACAGCAGCATCACCACGATATCTCTTCGATTTGACTTTTTGGATAACATTGGGGCCATCTGTAACTGGGACTTCATTGGTCAACACAGCTTGTGTAGCCTGCTCAAACTGTACATTGTGTGAACGATGGCTGACCTTGCCGGGAACATATGCTTCGGAGGCTCCATAGCCGCCCTTGGAAGTATCGCCACCTAAAACCGCACTGGCACCAACATCGGGCAATGCTTGGGCTCCGGCATATAAACCGCCAGCGGCACGTCCTGCAAGGACAAGAATTAAAATATGAGGTAAGACATGCGAAAGGCTTTTTTTTTAAACGAAATAGCTCTCTTCAGTGGATATAAAAGAACTTTCTTCGATAGCCTCTTCAATCCACAGAAAAAAAGTTTTTTGTGAACTTTCTGGAAGAGAGTTCTTCTATAAATAGAAGATAGTTTTTCAATACATATAAAACATTTAGTCTCTAGAAGAGAAGATGAGAGCTCTTCTCTTCATAAAAGAGAGCTGTTCTTTACATGGGGAGAAGTCTTTTCTATACAGAAGAGAGTTATTTTCTCCACAAAAGTGAGTTGTTCTCTATGTGTGGTTCTTTTATTTATAAGAGATAATTCACAGATATATAGTAGAGGTTTATTCTCATTATAGAATAGCTATCTTCTATAGAAGGGAACTCTTTCCGTAGAGAAGATAGTTCTTCTCTCTGCAATAAAAGCTATTCTATCTTTAGATAAGAGCTCTACTACCTATAAAAGAAATAAGTCTCCTATGTAACCTCTAGCAAACATAGATGATTTTTTTGTCTCCGAAGAGAGAATTTTTTTCTATGAAGAAGAGAAGTTGTCCATAAATAGAAGAGAATTATTCTCTTTATAGAAGAGAGTTCTATTCTTTATAAAATATAGCTTATCGTTCTATAGGTGAGAAGCCTTCTCTTCATACATGAGAGCTATTCCTTACATAAGAAGAATTCCTCTCAATATAGAAGAGGGTTCTTTTCTCCAGAAAAGAGCGCTGTTCTCTATATTGGGGATACTTCTTCCTCTACAAAAAACGTAAATAAGAGCTACTACCCATAATAAAAAAAAACTCTCTTTTGTAACCTCTTCTATCCATAGATGATATTTTTGTCTCTCGGAAGAGAATTTTTCTCAATGTAGAACACAATTTGTCCATATACAGGGCGAGATGAAAAAAATGCAACCAACTTCAGACTGCTGTCATTTCCAAGCCACTCGTCCGACAGCTGTTAAAATTATACCAGTGGCAGCTCATTATATTGTTTGCAAGCGTATAAAAGCATTTTGGTGGGAATTTTCCAGAAAAAAATTATTCGTGATGGAATTCAAGCGTGGTAGTGTGATTTCTTTATATTTGGCAGGAGAATTACAAGTGGCTATCGTTAGAGCACTTCAGTATTTAAATGTGAATAAATCTTTTGTCTTTCATCATCGCTCGTTACCGTCATACTTATACTGGTAGCGTAGCTCGACGTCAACGAAGTGGACGGAAGAAAACAGCAACATCAGCAGAAATGGTTCGAAAAGTAAAGAAGCGATTTGATCGAAACCCGCGTCGCAGTGGCCGAAAAATGGCTCGTGAGCTGAACATATCGCAATATTCCATTCGGCAAATATTTAAAAAAGAGCTCGGGTGTAAAGCCATTGAAATTCCGAAAAGTGCAACAGAAAGAAAATAGACTCAGAAGAGCTAAAGAGTTGCTTCGCTTGGCCGAGATTGGTGAACTCCCGAATTTGGTTTTCTCCGATGAGAAAACATTCGTTGTCCAGCAGTTTGTAAACAAACAAAATTATCGTGTTTACTTGCCAAAGAGGTCAGCTGAAAATGTGCACCTTGGGTTGGCCACTAGAACTCAAGCGCCGACCATGGTGATGGTGTGGGCCGCCAAAACAGCCGATGGTCGCTCTTCGCTCGTATTAATCGACCGTGGCATAAGAATAAATGCCGAATATTATCGCGAAAATATTTTTGAGGGTGAATTAAAGCCTTGGGCACGCAAACATTTGGATATTCCAACAGGAGCACCATCGCACTCAGCACGCGCCACCCAAGAATGGTTACTTCATTTTCAGCGCACAGTGACCACTAAAATCTCCGGATACCAATCCGTTGGACTATTGTGTCTAGAGTATTTTGGAAAGCAAGTTTGGCACTAAAAAATACACCTGAAGCAAGCGCTTCGCCGGAAATGCGCCAAAATACCGCAGAGCAACATTCGGGCATCGAGTGACGGTTTCATTGGCGAATCTAAACTTATTCTAAAATTTGATGCTATTTCCGACTTTTTTTCCTTTCATTCAATAAAATTTAAAATAAAATGTACAAATGATGGCGTTTAACTTTGTTGCCGTTTCCTTTTTAACCTTTTTCCTCTACAAAAAAGCTCTTCTGCCTGTAGATATGAGTCGTCAACCTCTTCCATCCACAGACGATTTTTTTGTCTTGCGCAGATCTATTTTCTCTATGTAGAAGACAAGTTTTCCATATATAGGAGAGAATTATCCTTCTACCCATCGAGAAAAATCTTCTTCCTAGCGACGAAGAATCTTCTATCAATAAGAGAGAGCTTTCATTTCACAGGTGAGCATTTTATAGTCTATGGAGTGAAACGAGCTCTTCTGTATAGAGGACGACCTATCTATGCATTGCAAAGAAATCAATCAAAATGTAGAGCGAGTTCTTCTTTCAATAGAGTATTCTTCATCCAAACAATATTCATCTATGAAAAAAGCTTTGCTATCTAAGAGACAAAAAACTCCAAAAGAGAGAAACTTTATCTGTAGAAGATTGGATTTTTTTTTGTAAAAATGGGAATTTTTCTTTTCAAGAAAAAATATATTCTACTTCGTTTCTTCGAGGACTCCTCTGTTTTTATAAGGATTTTATTTCCCATTTGTAGAAGCCTTCTATTTATTGAAGAGAGCAGCTTTATTTGTAGAGAAGAACTCTCCCATCTACAAAAGGGACTTTTACTCAATACAGAAGAGATTTTTCTATTTATAGAAATATATAGTATTTTAGGGCTCTTCAACCTTTACAAGAAAATTCTTATATCTGATGGTAAAAACTTTTTTCTCTGTAGAATGAGAGAAATGTTCTATTGATATAATATGGCTCTTCTCTTTAGAAAAGAGGGGGTTTCTGCCAGATTTTTGCGTGTTTTGTGTCATTTGAAGATTTTTTTTTCCATCTGTAGAAGAAATCCTCTTTGGTATAGAAGAGAGATTTTTAAGAGAGATATGCCTTACCTATTGTCTATCTTCTCTGTAGATGAAATCTTAAATCGGTATTCACTTTATAGAAGCGAAAACTTCTATACCTCTCGTCTCTGCACATCCTCCTCATCACTTCCTTATTAAAGAAGATTCTTCTCTCAATAAGAGATAGAATTTCTCTCATATACAGGGTGAGATAAATGCAACAAAGTCAAACGCCATAATTTTTACATTTTTTTTAATTTTATTGAATGAAAGCAAAAAATGTCGGAAATAGCATCAAATTTTAGAATAAGTTTTGATTTGTTCGAATTGGTCACCATTGGTACGAATTATGGCCTTCAAACTGTCATTGAATGTTGCTCTGCGGTATTTTGGCACATTCCCGGCGATGCGCTTGCTTGAGGTGTTCGACACTTTGGTATTTTTTAGTGTCAACCTTGCTTTCCAAAATACTCCAGACACAGTTTTTTTATCTCACCCTCTATATGTAAAAAATAAGTATAAAACATATTTTACCTAAAACATGTTTTACCTATACCGTGTATTTTAAAAATCCTCCATTTTTTGCCCTTTAGGGCAGCAAAAATTGTATTTTCGTAAAAAGTTGGCGCCCAAATGATTTTCTCTATGAGTTTTTAATTGTTCTTTGCCATTTAGTTGGTTTTTAAGGTGATTGAATACATGGAATTCATATCTATTCGATGTTTTAGAGATGTCTGGACAAGATTGTGTTTGCAATGAATAGAATGCATTGCCATGATTAATGAAGAGTGGATAGATTTTTTTGCTATCTTTACAATTGAAATATTGTTTGGTACAGAACAATTCCATTAGTCCCGAACAATTGTTATCATTTTCTGTTTAGTTATAAAACCCTTTAAAGAGAAATAAATCTCTGGGTTGCCATGAGAGGTTGTACTGTGTAGACCTCTTTCTTGCACTCTTAAGATTTTTAATTTACTTTCAACTCCATTAAAAGCGCTAAGCCTTTGACTTAAAATGCCACGAGGGCAAGGGTGAGGCGCACAATTGTATCAGTGGAAATTTCCACTGAAAATTTTTAACTTAAAGCCATTAAAAGCATTTGTTACCTTCGTCATATATATATTTTTTTAGAGATTCGCTAAAGATTTATAACAATTATTCCACATGGCACTGAAGGAGATACGTTTCTTTTTTTGTTGTTGCCAGGAGAGGAACCCCTCCCCTCCTCTTCTCTCTCTGGAACAGTAGATTAATTGAAAAAGTTCGACAATTCGTTTTAATGATTGAGAGAGGCAATGGAAGAAAAAGAGTTAACAATTTAAAGCCAAACAGGTCCATGAGGTGCTTTTTGTCCTAACAAAGAAACATTGTTTTTGTTTCCGTTTTCGGTACGGTCATCTTAATGTTTGTGGAGAGAACGCAGAAAAAAAGGATTGCAAGTTTTTGTTGTTGCTGTTGTTGGCAAATCCCCATCATGTAAATGGATGCCAAGGGCCACATTTGTCAATGTGCCAGAGAAATTAATTAAACAGAGCGACGATAGCGTAAATAATTGTAGACGATTTGGCCAACCGTTGGGAAGGGTGGCAAAAAGTGTTTTTCGAGCGCATTAGAAAGTTCCACCAAAATAACCAACTTTCAAGAATTTTCGAAGAAAAAGCCAGAAAACTTCTTCAACAGCATTCTCGTAATTAACCAAAGCGATAACAAGTACAGCGTTTAAAGTGTAAATTGGTGAAAATATTGAAAGACAATAGCCAGCGCAAAAGAGTATGAATTACGTATTTCGGCTAGGGAACAATAAGATGCGTTCAAGTTTGCACAGTGGTAGAATACATATTTACAGTGTGAGATAAAAAACTGCATCAAAGTCTAACGCTATAATTTTTACATTTTTTTTAAATTTTATTGAATGAAAGCAAAAAATATCGGAAACAGCATCAAATTTTTGAATAAGTTTAGATTTGTTCAAATTGGTCACCTTTGGCACGAATTATGTCCTTCAAATGGGCAATGAAACCGTCACACGGTGCCCGAATGTTGCTCTGCGGTATTTTGACCCATTCCCGCGAAGCGCTTGCTTGAGGTGATCGACACTTTGATATTTTTTAGTGCCAACCTTTCTTTCCAAAATACTCCAGACACAATAGTCCAACGGATTGGTATCCGGAGATTTTGGTGGCCATTGTGCGCTAGAAATGAAGCGAGGAAATTCACTTTGTAACCATTCTTGGGTGGAATGTCCAAGGTCTGCGTTCAAAATTTTTACGTGCCCAAGGCTTTAATACACCCTCCAGAATATTTTTACGATAATATTCGGCATTTATTCTGATGCCACGGTCGATTAATACGAGCGGAGAACGACCATCGGCTGTTATGGCGGCCCACACCACCACCATGGCCGGCGCTTGAGTTCTGGTGGCCAACCGAAGGTGCATATATTCAGCTGACCTCTTTAGCAAGAAAACACGATAATTTAATTTGTTTACAAACTGTTGGACAACGAATGCTTTCTCATCGGAGGAAACTAAATTCGGCGGTTCACCACTCTTTAGCTCTTTTGAGTCTATTTTCTTTCTGTTGCGGTGTAAGTTCAATGGCTTCACCCCGAGCTCATTTTTCAATATTTGCCGAATTGAATGTTGCGATATGTTCAGCTCACGAGCCATTTTTGGCCACTGCGACGCGGATATCGATCAAGTCGCTTCTATACTTTTCGAACCATTTCTGCTGATGTTGCTGGTTTCTTCCGTCCACTTTCTTGACGTCGGGCTACGCTACCAGTATCACCTCACGGTAACGAGCGATAGTACGAGACACAAAAGATTTATTCACGTTTAAACGCTGGAATGCTCTAAAGATAGCCACTTGCGGTGGCTTAGAAATAACAGCAGCCTTTTGTTTGAATGCAGTTTTTTCATCTCACCCTGAATATGGGAGATATAGCTATATCTGAACAGATTTTCGCCAAATTTGAGGTACTTATTTCTTGCATGAATTCAGAAGGAATTTCCAAAATTTAATCCATTTGGGCTGATATTAGCTATTTGGGGCAGAATAAACCATACATCGGATAAAGCTATATATGGGAGCTAGATCCAAATCTGGTCCTATCTCGATAAAATTTTACAGATGTATTTCTGAGCTGTATCTGATATCTGGTACCAAACCATTTCTGGTACCATTCTTGTGGAGTGCATAATATGCATGTGAGGGACTTAAAACCCAAAATCGGATGAAACATATATATGGGAGCTATAGCTATATCTGAACCGATGTTGACCAAATTTGCATACATGCTTCTAAACTGAATTCGGTCGGATGTGCCAAAATTCAGGTCATTTTGACTAATATTGACCATTTGGTGCACAGTTAACCCGAAATCGGTTGACCACATATATGGGAGCTATATCAAAATTTGAACCGATACTCACCAATTTCAATAGGGTTCGTGCATGGGCCAATCTATTTTTGTTTGGAAAAGTTCATCTCAATCGGATAATAAATGCGACCTGCATTTTGGACGTGGACAGGGGAAGGACATCCATATATCGACTCAGAAAGTGTTTCTATGAAGATCCTCGAAAATAACAATGGGTCTATGTCGATTCCTTCTCCATGTTACAAACAAATGCACTAAGCCATAATACCTTACCACAATGTGGTATAAAAAGATCCGTGATTTTTGGTCCAGAAATTATGGTGGGAGGGGGCTAGGTACGAGAATTAGTGCTCGCATTTTTCCATCTGATATAAATATCACAATTTACCAAGTTTGGATTATTCTACGGGAACTTCGTTCGCTTTATATATGCTATACATTCTTTTGCTTGTTTTCTACTTTTGTTGGAAATCCTAAAAGGAGTGGATCAATATTTTCCATTTTCGTTCCAAGTTTGTACTAAAACCATTACTCCCTTCGAGATGGCCGAGAAAAAAAGGGTTTGGCTAGATCGCATTTCAGCCCCTCACTGTGGTCTCGGGGATTTAAACCCCTCCAGATCATCTTGCATTTTGCATGAGAAGACCTTCTGACCTTTATTTTTCAAAATTTCCAACCACAGTACCTACTTCTTCTCCTCCTTCCGTTGGCACCATTGACAAGGCACATAATTCATTTTGGGAAACTCGTGGCAATCCTTGGTTGTCTTAAACCATTTTCAAAGCACGTTTGTCTAACTAACAAACGTGCCAAACAGACAGACAGGCAGACAGGCAGGCAACCAACCAAAGAGCCAGTCTGTCAGCCAGCCAACATGTTGGCCGTTGGCGGAGTTCAGGCTGGACGGTAAAGAGTTAAACCATGACGGTTTTTAGCACTTTCCCGGTTGGATGGTTGGTTGGTTAACACTTTAAATGGACAAAGGATACAACAGCAGCCGCAGCAGCGGATAGAACTTTGAGGCAACAAAACAATCCTTTGTATCAACAACAACAACAAAAGCGACAACAGCAAAGGTACCATTTACAGGAAGGGGAGCCCAGGAAGGAATGTAAACAAATAAAATTAATTATTTTTGGAAAATTTTTTAATAATATTAATTAATGGCGGTATAAAGATAATGCAGATTTGTGTGGAGTTTTGTTGGTGTTGTTGTTGCTTTTGTTATCTTGACGAAAAAATCGTGCTAACAACTTTCCGCCGGACATGGAAAATTTAATCATTTGGTGGATTGCTGTTGTTGTAATTAAGTGTTACTTTAGACAAGAGAGTGAGAGAGAGGGAAGAGAGCGAGTAATTAAGCGAATAATTTTCGTGGGAATTGGGAGAGTTTTTTTGCGGAAGCTTATTTTGCGGAAATCTCAAATGAGGAAAGCAGGATGAGAGGGAAAGTAAGAAATAAAATGTATTTTAATGTGTTGCAAAGTTGTCTGAGATTTTATTGAGAGAGTGAAATCTTTAAAAAAATATTATAAATATAAAATGTCCTTAAATAAAAAATGAAAAAATCCACAACATTAAAAAAAAACTTTTAAAAATATGAGACATTTAAAAATATTGTAAGATTAATCACGATTCCCAGTCAGAAAGTCCTTCAAAAATCCAGTTTTTTGGAAAAAAAAAATATTTTAAAACCAGTAATGAAAGTTTTAAAGACGGGCGGGCCGACTTGATGATACCCTACACCACTTTGCATATTTAGTAGAGCTTCACGTAACAATTAAAAGTTTTTATGGGAGAATTCAATTAATAGAAGCTATGATTATAACTATAATTTAAAGTTCAAAGGACTAAATATACCGAGTCATTTGTATCTTTTAAATTCGGGCTTTTATTGTCCATTTGGTGCACAATTAACTTGAAATCGAATAAAGATATATATGGGAGCTATATCCAAATCTGAACAGATCTCGATAGAATTTGGCAAATATATTTCTGAGCTGTATTTGATATGTTTTCCTGAATATCGTTGTTACGGAGTGCATATTACGGCTGTGGGGAACAAATATAACAAATCGGATGAACAATATATATGGAAGCTATAGCTATATTTGAACCGATCTTCTCCAAAATTGGCATACTAGCTTCTAGACTCAATTCGGTTGTAAGTGCCCAATTCCATCGCATTTGGGCTAATATTACACGTTTGGTGTACAATAAAAGGCAAATCGGTCGAAGTTATATATGGGTTCATCGAAAACCCACGTCGCAGTGGCCGAAAATGGCTCGTGAGCTGCACATATCGCAATATTCCATTCGGCAAATTTTAAAAAAATAGCTCGGGGTAAAGCCATTGAAATTCCAAAAAGTGCAAGGACTTACACCGCAACAGAAAGAAAATAGACTCAAAAGAGCTAAAGAGTTGCTTCGATTGGCCAAATTTGGTTTTCTCCGATAAGAAAACATTCGTTGTCCAGCAGTTTGTAAACAATCTTGCCAAAGAGGTCAGCTGAAAATGTGCAACTTCGGTTGGTAACCAGAACTCAAGCGCCGGCCATGGTGATGGTGTGGGCCGCCATATCAGCCGATGGTCGCTCTCCGCTCGTATTAATCGACCGTAGCATCAGAATAAATGCCTAATATTATAGCGAAAATATTCTGGAGGGTGTATTAAATCCGTGGGCACGCAAACATTTTGGCCGCAGACCTTGGACATTCCAACAGGACTCAGCACCATTGCACTCAGCACGCGCCACCCAAGAATGGTTACAAAATGATGTTCCTCGCTTCATTTCCAGCGCACAATGGCCACCAAAATCTCCGGATACCAATCCGTTGGACTATTGTGTCGGGAGTATTTTGGAAAGCAAAGTTGGCACTAAAAAATATCAAAGTGTCGATCACCTCAATCAAGCGCTTCACCGGGAATGGCCAAAATACCGCAGAGCAACATTCGGGCAGCGTGTCACTTGTCATTGTACCAAATTTGCGGAAGAGATTATAACTTGTCCCCTATATTTAAGTAAACTTTCAAAACGTCGATACAAGTGACTTCTATTTTTAGCCTTACTTTCATAATCTACTGAGTTTTTTTACAGTATTATGAATAGAAGATTCTCCAAATGTATTCTTTGGATAGAAGGTGCTGAATAGGACCTCTCATTGCTATTCCGTGGGCGGAAAAGGCGACGAAGACCCTTTAAATGTCTTTCTGGGATAAAGGACCCTTCAAAGGCCTTTTACGTATAGAAGGTCTTTCTGTGATCCCTTATTCCTTTTAAAGTCTTTCTTGCATAGAAGATCCTTCAAATGTCTTCTAAGTATAGTGTCTAAGTGTCTCTGATCTTTTATGTCTTGAAGACTATTCATAGAATCTCCTTTAGAGGCCTCCTCTAAATAAGTTTTTTCATGGGTCTTTTATGGTTAAAATATCTTCCATATGACGTCTTTGAAATAACTTTCACAGCTCTCTAAGATCTCTTAGAGCTCTTCTATGAGCCTGATACTTAAAAAACTATTGTTCTTCTAATAAACCGGACACCTTCCTTCCACATAGTAAATGCGATTTTCCACTTCATCAATTTCCACTTACCATTCACATTACCACCCAAACCGGCAGCGGCATTCTGACCCCATGGGGTTCCTGCGGAGGCGTGTAGGCCGCCAGCTAAGCCATTACCCGAATTTTGGCCACCAAGTCCAGCCTCAGCATGATAGCCAAAGAAGTTGACACCTACTTTGCCATCTTTAAAGGTGATTAACTATAAAAAAGAGGAGAAAACAAAAATCAAAGATTAAAAAAAGATAAAAAAGACAAAAGAAAATCTCCAAACTCCCATGGCCAAAAGTTTTGGTGGACATCACTAAAACCTTTCCCCAAATATTTGTAATACAATAAACCATTAAATTGTTTTTATTGTTTGGCCAAAAAGTCGATTCTTTGTTGGCCACAATGGCAATAATCGAAGATTTACAATGCCACACCACCTCTGATGACAAGAAAAATGGAGGGGAGGAGAGTGGAATGTGAGGAAGTTTGAATCAAAGACAAGCAGCAGCCGTGTAATTCGATTATACCGCAAAAAAATGAAAAATAAATTTCCCACAAAGTTTTCCTTTTTAGTTGCGTTTTATTGCCAGGAAACAAGCTTCGTCTTTGGACATTTCGTTATAGTTGTCGTTGGAGAAATCAAAGTTCGTTTTTATGTCTCTCTGTGGGAGGAGAAACTTGTAGAGTTGTGTAGTTGTTTTTTTTTTTTGTATTTTTATTTGAAAGTGCGCTGATGAATGCGCTGAGTTCGGGGTATCCTTTGACTTTGTGGTCTATGGCGAAACTTTTAATCTATGGTTGTGAGTTTTTTTCTTATTTTAAGCCGGAACATGTGTGGTTCATAAGTGGCTCTTGAGAATGTAGGATTTTTGTTTCGAGAAGAGTGAAAGGGGGGAAGAGAAAAACTCAATATTTGCTCTTTAAATTACCATTGTTGTAATAACTTTGCTTTTTTCGTCACAAAAGAGAGGGAGAGAGAGTTTTTGTGGGTATGCTTGATTTATCTTTTGGTTTGTACGATTATAAGAAAATTTAAAAAAAATCAGTGAATTTTCTTGAAGACAACTTAAAAAAAAAATCAGCCCGTTATGTCGACAGATATTTACCCTCAGCCCATGTCTCATTATAAAATATATTTTGATTTGATTATTCAAAATGTTTATCCTTTATTGGGATGATGCCGAAGGCGTGAACCAATATTTTTCTATTTCGCATCTGACCTGATCTGAAAATATTTTGGAAAATGTTGAACTTTTTTGAAGAGGTAGGAGAAAGAGTGGATGCATTAAAACAGAGACACTGTGTTACAGAGAATATTAATACTGCACTTTTTTGCAGGAAGTGGTTCGATATTCATATTAGATATTGAGTTTAGTCAAACATTCTGCAACCAAATTCGGACTGCTGTCATTTCTATACCACTCGTCCGACAACTGTTAAAATTATTCCAGTGACAGCTCATTACATTGTTTACAAGCGTAAAAAGCATTTTGGTGAGAATTTTCCGGAAACAAAGTTTTTCGTGATGGAATTAGAGCGTGATAGTGTGATTTAAATTTGGCTGGAAAACCACAAGTGGCTATCGTTAGAACAATCCATCATTTAAATGTGAATAAATCTTTTGTGTCTCGTACCATCGCTCGTAACTGTGATACTGGTAGCGTAGCCCGACATCCAGGAAGAAGACGGAAGAAAACAGCAACATCAGCAGAAATGTTTCGAAAATTAAAGAAGCGTCTTGATCGAAACCCGCGTCTCAGTGGCCGAAAAATGGCTCGCGATGTGAACATATCGCAATATTCCATTCGGCAAATATTGAAAAATGAGCTCAGGGTAAAGCAATTGAAATTCCAAAAAGTGCAAGAACTTACACCGCAACGGAAAGAAAATAGACTCAAAAGAGCTAAAGAGATGCTTCGCTTGGCCGAAAGTGGTGAACCGCCGAATTTGGTTTTCTCCGATGAGAAAACATTCCTTCTCGTTGTCTAGCAGTTTGTAAAAAAAAAACAAACTGATCGTGTTTACTTGCCAAAGAGATCATTTGAAAATGTACACCTTCGGTTGACCACCAGAACTTAAGCACCGGCCATGGTGATGGTGTGGGCCGCCATAAGAGCCTATGGTCGCTCTCCGCTCGTATTAATCGACTGTGGCATCAGAATAAATGCCGAATATTATCGCGAAAATATTCTGGAGGGTGTATTAAACCCTTGGGCAAGCAAACATTTTGGCCGCAGATCTTGGACATTCCAACAGGACTCAGCACGCGCCACCCAAGATTGGTTACAAAATTAGGTTCTTCGCTTCATTTCCAGCTCACAATGGCCACCAAAATCTCCGGATACCACTCCGGTGGACTATTGTGTCAGGAAAGCTAGGTTGACACTAAAAAATACCAAAGTGTCGATCACCTCAAGCAAGCGCTTCGCCGGGAATGGGCCAAAATACCGTAGAGCTACATTCGGGCAGCGTGTGACGGTTTCATTGGCCGTTTGAAGGCCATAATTTGTGCCAAAGGTGACGAATTCGAACAAATCTAAACTTATTCTAAAATGTGACATTTTTTGCTTTCATTCAATAAAATGTAAGAAAAAAATGTAAAAATTATGGCGTTTGACTTTGTTGCAGTTTTTTAATCTCACCCTGTATACCCTCTGTAGCCATATGGCTGAGGGTAAACATGTCACGAGTGACCCTTAAAAAATCCAACAATAGTTATAAAAATTAGCGCACGCATAATAGTTCTGTCGGTTCTTTAAAAAATTCTATAAAAACAAGGGTTATGTGTCTACCGGTCTGTTATTGATTTAATAAATCTTCTTTGAAAACTCTAAATTATAATTTTGATAGTTGTTAAAAATATTTTTAAAAAACAAGATTTTTATCTTTTATAGTTCTTGAAAAAAATATTACTTACAATTCCGCTTTCGAGCTTGAACAAAATTCTCCTCAAAAATTTAAATATTCCTTAAAAATCCCTTTTCTTAAAAATGTTAAGATATTAGATTACTGCGAAAAAAGGGTATCCTCAGCTTCCATATCAGCCCACCACATATCTTCTCTCTCTCTCACTCCCCCTCTTTCTAAAACGCTCCCACGAAAAAACACACACAACATAAATTGATTTGTTGCGCAAAAAAATAAGAAAAATCTATATTTAATTTTAAAAAGTGATTTGTTACAATTGTTTGCTTTTTACTTTGGCAAAGGGACATTAGTTAGGGAGAGCGAGATAAAGTCATTACTCTTAGTGTCACTAAATTTGTCCATTGTCTTTTGATCTGAGACTTTGACCTTTGGCAGGAATTTCTTGCACACATTTGGAGAAGGACCAAAGAAGAGGAGGAGGAGAGATAGCTTGCCAGGATATATGAGGCGAACAAATAAATGTTGCTTTTGGCTCGTTTTTTTTTTCAAGTTTTTTTTTTTTTTTTTTGGCAAATGCTTAATGGCAGTGTTTCATTACGGTCAATTGTGGTGGCAGCATGTGGCCAAAATACCAAAGGCATCGCAGACTAATTGCAACCTCTGGACATGGTCATATATATTTCTGTGTGGGAATGTGAGGGTATGGTTGTGGTCTGTTGGAGTTGAGAAATTTTAAAATGTATAAAAAAATGTCATTGGTTATGCGGAATATGTATTTAAGGGAATTTTGGTGAACATACTTGAATATATCTATTTATATTTAAAATAATTTTCTTTTAAAAAATAAATAAAAATCAATAAATCCCTGAAAAAATCCTTGAAATTTACACTTTATTTAGGTCCTTCAAAAATATTTGAAAAATTAAAAAAAAAATTCAACTTTAATTGAGGCTTTGAAGAAAACATTTTTTCAAAAATGTTGATCATTATATGTTTAATTGGGCCAAAAAGTTTGTAATACCTCGAAATATTGGTCTCCTCGTCTCCTGGTCCGATCCTCACAAAACTTAGCATGGAGGTGAGATTAGGGTCAGTTAGAAACATATTATTTTTGGAGATGATTAGGGGTTTAAAATGGACCAAAAATAGAAAATTGTCCTAATTTAGCAGTGGCTCTAAAGATCACAATTATATACCACACGGCGTGAGGATTGGGTTTAGGACAGGGCAGAAGCCAACTAATTTGGATGATCAGCGTATAATATATGGAGGCCGAAATTTACATAACATTGGGTAAAAACTACCGAAATTTCCATAAAACCACGAATACTTTTAACCCCGGAAAAATCATAAATACACGTAAAGGTTACTTCTGGCCGTTACATTGATTATGACAGCCATGATATAGGGTATGCTGTAAAATATATACAATATATTTATAAGAGAGACAAAGAGAGAGATAGAGAGAGAGATAACTGACTAATTGAGAATCAACGCTGAGACAAAAAGGCTGAGCTAGAATCTTCAAATTTTGAACAAGGGTCCGTTTTTAGACGTAGACGTGTGATAAGGCTGAGTTTTTGGAAATACGTACTAAAAGGATACGAAAAGTACTAAAATGGACTAAAAATTAAATATTTTGTATTGGACAAACGGAATGAGCTAGTTTTCTGAAATTTAGAATGAAAGTCACAGATGGAGTACGGGATAGATGCACCAAAGGATTTTTGGAAATTCGAACTTTAAGGTTACCAAAATTTCGAAAATGGTACAAAACTTCTAAAATAGTACCATTTGGTATTGTGTGAACGGATAGAGCTAAAAATTTGAAATTTGGTATGATAATCAATGTTGTAAAGTAAGTTTGGTATATGAATGGGGTTTGGGAAATGTTTACTTAGTGTGCGAACTGTACTAAATGGTACCAAATTCGGAACAGTTTGGTCTAGTATGAATAGATGGAAGTGGAATTTTTAAATTTCATATTTGGATCCCTGCTGGTAATAGCTTTATGATAAAGAGATAGTTTCGGAAATGTGTACCACAAGTGTACGAAAAGTACTAAAATAGGTACTATATTAGGAACAATTTGGTATTGGGTGAGTAGATAGTGTTTGAAATCTGAAATTTGGTATTAGGGTGGCTGTTCATGTTTAGCCTGGACAGATGATCTCGGAAATGTGTACTGTATTTGTGCGAAAAGTACTACATGGTACTAAATTTGCTATTGGGTGAAGGGATAGGGCTGGAATCCCGATATTTGATATTGAGGTCTCTGTTGGTATCTGATATTGAGATATGGAGGTGGTTTAGGAAATTTGGAATTTGATGTCTCTGCTGGTA